TCCCCTGGACTCGGGGAGTACTCAGAGCATCGTCACTGGGGACTTGGGGAAGGGAGAAAGGTACACAGGTGAGAGGGCTGCCAGTGTTTATCTCCTGGATTCTTCCCCCTTCTATCACTACATCCTTCAGGCTCTTTGGAAATGCTGTTAGCCATACACCATATAGAGTATAGCATTTGTCAGACATGCCCACACTCATCTTCTGACCGTAAAACCTACACAGTTACCTCACTGTCTAACAGCCCTTCTCATTGAAAAGCTAGGCTTCTGCCTTTGCTTAGGATCCTAATCCAGTTCCTGTTCTCAATGCCCACTCCCTCTTGGGATTTCTATCCGGATCCCTCCTTTGGTTGCTTTTCGTTGGCATTGAAAAATACCTGCCTTTCCAAGCGAAAGCAAAGACTTTTCCTTTTGGTCTGTGCTTCTCCATCACTGCAGAGTCCCTTCATTGCCAAGTTTTCTGAAGAACCTGTCTACACACGTTGCCTCCGCTTGTCTGTGACCTATTGTTTTATCACAACGATGGATGTGTACATCAGAAATTCCCCTCATTACAGGCTGTGTTTTAAGTTTTCATCTTCCTTGTCATCCTCATCCTCTTGACAACTACTTTATTTTTAACTCTTATGCCTTTGTACACACACACACATACACACACAGTACTGTGTTTTGTTTGTGTATACACGTGTGAGAGTATGTACTTTGTGTATGTACAGGCCAGAGGATGTCAGACGTTGTGTTCAAGTCTCCACCGTGTTCCTCTGAGACAGGATCTTTCATTGAGCTTGGAGCTGGGCTGGGGCAACAAGCCCCAGCCATCCTCATGCACCAACCCTCTGGTTTTACCTGGATGCTAGAATATGAATTCAAGTCCTCATGCTTGCTGTTCAGGTGTGCACGCTTACACAGACAGTGCTCTTACACATGGAACCATCTCTCTGTTCCCTTTCATCTCTGTACTTCTAAATAGCACATGCCCACAGCTGCTTTTTGACTACTTTTAGGCATCATCTGTTGATAATCTTAATTATTCCATTACCATTCTTTCTAATTTTTAAAAAGTTTTACTTTATGTGTACAGGTGTTTTGCATGTATGTGTATCTCTGCATCATGTGCCTGCTTGGTGCCCTTAGAGGCCAGAAAAGGATATTGGATCCCCTCAGGCTGGAGTTATAGATGCTTGTGAGCTGCCATGTCTGAACCCAACTCTTCTGGAAGAACAGCCAGAAAGATATCTTAAGCATGAAGTCATCTATCTAGTGTCTCCACTTCCATTTTTTTTTATTGTGGCTATATTATAGAGTTTAGTTATTCTATGGTTACTCTATTATTTTTATGCAAATATTGTTCACCTGAGTGCTGCACTTTACTCTGTTTTATGTCTTAGTCTTTTGTTTCTCCTAAAATATTTACTTGAGTTTCATTTCTATTTTTCTGCTAACTTATTGTTTTTTGCACCTTTGATTGTCTCTCCATAGCTTTTTCAGAAAGACAAAGGCATCAGTTAAACTTCCAACCCACTGTTCTTTTCATCTTGAAGGCAATCATTTGGAGAAACTGCTTCAAATGTAGGGAGATTTAAAAATTATTATTATTATTATTATTACAATTTATTCACTTTGTATCCCAGTTGTAGCACCCTCCCTTATTTCCTTCTGGTCCCACCCTCCCTCCTGCTTCCTCCCTTATCCCTCCTCCCTAGTCCACTGATAGGGGAAGTCCTCCTCCCCTACTGTCTGACCCTAGCCTATCAGGTCCTATCAGGACTGCCTGGATCCTCTGCCTCTGTGGCCTGGCAAGGCTGCATCACCAGGGAGAAGTGATCAAGGAGCAGGTAACAAAGTTCATGGCAGAGACTGTCTCCTCCCATTACTAGGGAACCCACATGGAGACTGAGCTGTCTATGGGCTACATCTGAGCAGGGGGCCTATGTCCTCTCTATGCATGGTCCTTGGTTGATGCAATGAGTCTTTGAAATCCTGTCTGGGCCCAATATTTTTTGTCTTTGTTGGACTCCTTGTGGGGCTCCTGTCCCCTCTGGGTCTTTCTATCCCCCACCTTCTACCATAAGACTCCCTGCAAGCTGTCTTAAGTTTGGTTGTGAGTCTCTGCATCTGCTTCAATCCACTGCTCCATGAAGTCTTTTAGAGGACATCTGTGATAGGCTCCTGTCCTATTCCCCCTCTTCTATTGATTCTGGTGTCTATCCTGTTTGCTCTTCTGAATTAAGAAACTTCCCTAGGGTCCTCCTTGTTGTTTAGCTTTTTTAGGTCTGTAGATTTGAGTATGTTTGTCCTATATTATATGGCTAATATCCACTTATAAGTGAGCATATACCATGCATGTCTTTCTACTTCTGGGATACCTAACTCAAGATGATCTTTTCTAGGTTATATCCATAGATGGTCCTTGGTTGAGTGTCAGTCTCAGAAAAGACCCTGTGCCCAGATATGTTTGGTCCTTGTAGAGCTCCTATCCTTTCCATATCATACTAACTTCCCTTCTTTCATATGATTCCCTGCACTCTGCCGAGGGTTTGGTTATGAGTCTTAGTGTCTGCTTTGAAACACTGCTAGGTAGAGTCTGTTAGGCCACAGAGGAGGACTTTGCAGCCAGCCCTGAAGATACCTGATAAAACAGGGTCAGATGAAAGGGGAGGAGGTCCTCCCCTATCAGTGGACTTGGAAAGGGGCAGGGAGGAGACCAGGGAGGGAGTGTGGGGTTGGGGAGGGAATGAGGGAGCGGGATACAGCTGGGACACAGAGTTAACAAAATGTAACTAAAAAGAAAAAAATAATAATAAAAAAAATGTAACTGATAAGAAAAAAATAAAATAAATAAATACATACATACATAAAAAAAAAGATGATCTTTTCTAGTTCCCACCGTTTGTCTGCAAATTTCATGATTTCCTTGTTTTTAACAGCTGAGTAGTATTCCTTTGTGTAATTATACCACAACTTCTGTATCCATTCTTTGGTTGTAGAGAGATTTAGGGAACCCTCTGCTCTCTAGGCCAACTGACCAGCTGCTCTTTAGGCACACTGAGGAATGCATTAAAACCTTCATTTCACAGAATTCCTCTTTTCTTCCTTTTCCATGTTGCCAGAGCACATCCTGCAGTGGCTTCACCAATTTGAAGCAATGATACAGTGGCAGAGGGTACAGTGACAGTGCTCCACTTACTCTATCTCTTGTCAAACTGCCCCAGTCTGGTCTAGGGTCAAGTTGTAAAGAGGGCAAGTCGTTTCAGGGAAGGATGTGGGTCATCTTCTGTGCTGTTTTTCTTTTGGCAACATAATAGCGCATGCCTTTGGTCCCTCCCTTGTTTCTCAAGTTCAATTCTTGAAAAATGAGGTCAAGTTGTACTCTGATGAAAAATTGCTCATACTCACGGACAGATCTGAATTCTGCTTCCCTGCTCACTGAGGTCCTTCATCCTGCCCCTGCCCCAACTGGGCCTGTAGATAGAGTGGGTCTGAGAATTCACACCTTTGCTTTTAATTCTAATCCCACCAGATGGTAACAGACTGGGGAATTTCGGATAAGAGGACCCAGGCTTGGCCTTTGGATGGGCCTTTCCCATCTCTCCTGAACAGGTGGCTTTTTGTCTTCTTGCACCAGGGAGCTGAGTCATCTTCCCACCTCCAGCTCCTCAAGCCGAGCTTGACTAGCCTAGTGCTCTGCTGTTGTCTTCGTGTCCTCCTGGAGTTAGCTTCCCTGGAATCAGAGCTTTGCAGGGGATCCCCAGTTTTTTTTTATCCTTGATGCCTTGGGGGTAACGGCCCTGCTTCTGCCATCCCACTTCTTCAATTGGCTCAAGACCTCCAGCAAGAGTCCCTGCATGCCAACATGGTTCTGAGGGTTTTCATCCTTTCTTTGGTATTCAGTCAAAACGCTGACATGTGAGTCTCACCAAGTCCATTCCTAAAGATTACTTTGAGCACCTGCAGACATACTTCCACATGGATTCCATGCGACTTTAGATACGTGTTGTATGTGGTTCCTCGGTGCTGAAGGCTTTCTCTTGATCACTGTCATGCTCCTTCCCTTTAGTAAATGCTGAGTTGAAGAAGTCCCTTAGTGCAAATTAAGCATGAGTAGCATCTTATTTGAACTTGTCTTCTTACCTAAATTAGAGGCCAATTTTGTACCCCATGAGTGGCTGAGCTCATGATGCTGGTGTGTGAGGCAGTGGACTAAGGGTGGAGATTTCTTATCCTCCTGTCTTTGTGGTCTCAGCAGATATGTGCAAGATCTGGAAACATTCATAATGGGAAAGCTCACTTTTGAAATGTTAAAAAAAATTTTCCCCCTCAGTGATAGTTTAAGGAGACATTGAGTGTAATTTAAGAGTGCCTATGGGTATTTCGAGATATTGCTTAGTTGGGTGAGTGGTTAGCTAACACACACGAATCCCTAGGTTCAATTCCCTGCACCCTATAAAGCCAGGTGTGGTGGTACATGACAGTAACCACAGTACTAAGGACGTAGAGGCAGGAGAATGGGAAGTCTAAGGTCATCCTCAGCTATAGAAAAACCTTTGAGGTTGGCCTGGACCATATGAGATTCTGTCACACACATGCACATGCACACACACACACACACACACACACACACACACACACACACATACACACACACACACAAACACACACACACACACACACACACACACACACCTCCATACAAATGTATACAAGAAGAAAGGAAGGAAGTGGGGACCACTTACTACACAGTTACCCACATTGTCACACATGCTGATAGGGCAGGGATGATTAGTCAATTTCTCCTGCTGTCCCATTCACTTACATTTCTTGAAGCTTTGCACACATTTGTGGTCTCCCAAACCCATCCCCACCCCAACCCCACCTGGGACCTCTGCTTCACAGACTGCCAGGCATCCAGAAGGTAGGGTGGTTGGGTTGTCTCCAGGCTCCCACTCATCACTGTCTCACTACTTCTCACTTTCAGGTGGCTAGGCTGAACTCTGACCTCCATGGCCTTGGCACGGGCTAACAGCCCCCAGGAGGCATTGCTCTGGGCCTTGAATGACCTTGAGGAGAAAAGCTTCAAGATGCTGAAGTTCCACTTACGGGATGTGACCCATCTGGCCCGAGGGGAACTGGAGGGTCTGAGTCAGGTGGAGCTGGCCTCAAAACTGATTTCAATGTACGGAGCACAGGAAGCCGTGAGAGTGGTGAGCAGGAGCTTGCAGGCCATGAACTTGAGGGAGCTCGTAGACTACCTCAGCCAGGTTTGTCTGAATGGTGAGTGCAGCCCGAGAGATAGAAGTGAGGGTAGCACCAAAGATACCCCAGGTACCCCACAGACTCTTATAGTCTGTAATTTATGCCTTTCCTTAAGCTGCCCAGTCCTTTGGGACCCCCAGAGCTCCCAGAATCTTAGTCTTCAGATAAGAACTCTGAAGAATGCTGTTTTCAGATCCTGGGCTGATGACAGGGTATGGTATCTTAAGACTAAAGCACCCCTCTTCCTGCCTGTAGTTGCCACGTGGAGATACTGGAGAAGTGGAGGGCACGTAGAAGGGGCATGCTGATGTGGCACAGTGTTGGTGGAGTGATTTCCTCTCACTAGGAGAACAGCATCAGGCTATATGGGTCACTCTCCCCGACCCCCCGTGACAGGCAGTGAGGCTGCTCTTTACAGAGGGGTCAGTGGGACAGTGTGAACCTAGACAGCAATGGCGCCGAAATAGCCGCCTGCTCCTTCTTTTGGGGTGCAGGTCGAGGGGCGCTGTGGGCACTTGTGATTGTTTCCTGAGACCTCCCATGCTGTAGAAATGAAGCAGACAAGCTGGGATGATGGCAGTGCTTGGAACACAGGTGTAAGAACCTTAGTTCAAATAGCAGAATCCATTTTTTTTTTTTTTAGCTGAGCATATGATGGTGCGTGGTTTTTTTCATTTGTTTCTTTGTTTTGTTTTGTTTTTTTTTCTATTTTGTTTTTTATTTTTTGTTTCTCTGAGACAGAGTTTCTCTGTATAACAACCCTGGCTGTTCTGGAAGTGGCTCCTGGCACTGGGTAGACCAGGCTGGCCTCCAACTCACAGAGATTCACCTGCCTCTGCCTCCCCAGCACTGAGATTAAAGGTGTGAGCCACTTATAATCCCAGTGTTGGGAAGGCAGAGACAGGAGGGTCTAGTAAACTTACTGGCTAGCCAGCTTAGTCTCCTTGAGCCCCTGACTCAATGAGAAACCCCAGCCCGCACCTGAGGAACTTTATCTGCCACATGCACACATACATAGATACACACAAATGGAGGTGGGGAGAGGAGGAGGAGGAGAAAGAGAAAGGAGAAGAGAGGAGGAGAGGAGAGGGGAGAAAAAGGAGAGGAGGGGAGGGGAGGGGAAAGGGAGAAAGTGAGGTTCTAAAGTCATGGCTTCTACTCAGCTGGTGGGTTGTCGTTAGCTCTGGCCCACAGTCTTTACCAGGAACAGACTCCAGTTACTTAAGTTTTCAGCTTAACTTCTCTCTTCTCTTTGTCCTCACCTGTCCCCATGCGATTTCACAGGACTTCTCGAGAATTTACACATTGTCACACACACGTGTTGAGATATACATACCCCTTCTTCCACAGTGTGCACCCTCTGTCAGCACATTCTCACGAGCATGTGTAGATACAAATATACTCACAAAACATGCCCCACCCCATGCATGCTCGCACCATAGTTTCACTTCATGAAGCCACAACTATAATCTTCAAAGCAATACAAGTTAGAGAGAGCAGCCGATGAGACTAAAGAGCAAACTTAGGGTTTGAAGGGTTTATTTTGCCTGTTGTTCCCATTCAACACTCAGAACCCCATTTGTGTTACTCAGATTACAGAGAAATCTACCGGGAGCATGTGCGCTGCTTGAAAGAGAGGCAAGACTGGGATATTAAGAGCAGCTACCACGAGCTGCTCCTGGTGGCCACGTCTGGCTCAGGGAGTTCGGGATCACAGTCCTGTTCTGACCTGGAACAGTTGAAACCTGTCCAGGTGGAGGCTTTATTCACCCCAGAGGCGGAGTCCAACTCAACCCCGCCCACAGTGGTGATTCGAGGTTCAGCGGGCACTGGAAAGACAACCCTGGTCAAAAAACTGGTGCAGGACTGGGCCCAAGGGACCCCGTACCCAGGCCGGTTTGATTACGTCTTCTACGTGAGCTGTAGAGAAGTGGTCCTGCTGCCCGAGTGCGACCTGCCCAACCTTATCTGCTGGTGTTGCGGAGATGATCAAGCCCCGGTCATAGAGATTCTGAGGGAGCAGAAACGACTCCTGTTCATCCTGGATGGCTATGACGAGTTACAGAAGTCCAGTCGTGCCGAGTGTGTACTACGCATTCTGATTAGCAGAAGGGAGGTGTCATGCTTTCTTCTCATCACCACTAGGCCTCCTGCTTTGCAGAGTCTGGAGCCTATACTGGGTGAACGGCGACATTTCCACGTGTTAGGCTTCTCTGAGGAGGAGAGGAAGAACTACTTCAGCTTTTATTTTTCGGACAAGGAGCAAGCGAGGAATGCCTTTGAGTTTGTGCAAAGCAACGCTGTTCTCTACAAAGCATGCCAAGTTCCGGGCATTTGCTGGGTGGTCTGCTCCTGGCTGAAGAGGAAGATGACAAGAGGCCAAGAAGTCTCAGAGACACCTAGCAACAGTACAGACATTTTCACTGCTTATGTGTCCACCTTCCTACCCACTGACGGCAATGCGGAGAGCTCTGAGCTCACCCGGCACAAGGTCCTGAGAAGTCTGTGCTCCTTGGCCGCCGAGGGGATACAACAACAGAGGCTGCTCTTTGAAGAAGATGTCCTCAGAAAGCACAGCCTAGATGGCCCCAGCCTCACTGCTTTCCTGAACAGCTTCGACTACCGTGAGGGGCGTGGCATCAAGAAACTCTACAGCTTTCGCCATATCAGCTTTCAGGAGTTTTTCTATGCCATGTCCTTCCTGGTGAAGGAGGACCAGGGTCAGCTGGGGGAGGCAACATGCAGAGAAGTAGCTAAGCTGGTGGAACTGGAAAAATACGAAGAGGTAACTCTCAGTTTGCAGTTCTTATTTGACATGTTGAAAACAGACAGCACCTTGAGCTTGGGGCTGAAGTTCTGCTTTAAAATTGCTCCCTCGGTAAGACAGGATCTGAAGCATTTTAAAGAACAAATAGAAGCCGTAAAGTACAACAGGTCATGGGATTTGGAATTCTCTCTCTATGATTCTAAAATAAAGAAGCTCACACAAAGTATCCAGATGAAAGATGTCATCTTCAAAATACAACATTCAGTTGAAAAGAACCCTGGTAAGGGGTTTTCAGTGAGCAGCAGCTTTGGTAAGGGCCAGGTGCAAAGCCCTCTCTTGGAAATTGATAATCGCACAAGGAAACAAAAGAAAGCTTCTAACGGGAAAAGCAGGGGGACAGAGGAGCCAGCCCGGAAGGTCAGAAACAGTAGGCTGACAAGCAGAGGAAAGGGGCATATGGAGATGAAGGATAAGGAGGATGGTTGCGTGGAGAGACAGGAGGATGGGGAAGGACAGAGAGTTAAAACAGATGGCGAGTTGAGAGAGCAGATGAATGAGTGGCAGAGGGAGTGAAGGACACAGAGACAAATAGAGGAAAGAATTACATAATCAAGGACCAGGAGACTTAGCATAACATGTGCAATGAATGGCTTATTGGAAGCAACCAGCACTTGCCAAGGATTTCTGAAGTTTATAAATTAGCATCCCTTACCCGAGCTTTCCAGCACCTCCTGTAGTGTGAAGTCACCGAGTATCCCCTTCTGTGCTAATACCATTGACTAAGACTTTAATCTTGACATTAGAATCTTTTCAAATAAAATGAATTGTTTAATAGAGTGAGAATCATATGCATTCTGTAAAATGTGGGTATATATGGAACACATCTGCCAACATGTGTAGGAAATATGCTGGGGAATAATGGAAAGTCCTCTTGACTCTGTATTTGTGTTCACGTATTGCTTAAATAAAGAGTAGCTTCCTATTCTTTCTAGAAGCTTCCATACTACTCTTTTATTAGAAGTGGGTCATGGGTGATCATGGCTCTAAACACTGGTCTTGGAAATTCTACTTTGCATTGACTTGATTTAATTCTGTACCAGTATGATTACTGTTAGTCCCAGCTATGCCATTAAGTGACTTTTTTTTTTTTTAAATGCAAAGATGTTGCAGTTCCAAGAGTGGGTACATCACCTTTTCCTGTTCTTGGTCTCTCTATAGAGAAGAAGGAAAAAAAAAAAAAAAAAGGATTCTTGCTTAGGTATAATGAGTTGATTGAACTCATTTCATAGTTGAGGAACTTGACTCACCTATTTCTTAGGTTCCTCGCAAAGTTCTCAGCCCTCATATCACAGGCCTGAATAGGCTGCCAGCAAGACCCTTAGTCCTGCCTAGTGGCCATTCTGCCTCCAGTGCCACTGAGTTTGGGTCCCTTAGGGCCCCACAGAAAACCTACAAACAGGACTCTTGCTTTTCTCATTTTCCCCCATGAGTTGGTCCCACAGGCAGCAATTCCAGTCATCTGCCATACATGCCCAAATGTCTGGGTCCAAGGAACTCAGCCTTGAATGGTGAACTTAGGACACAGTAGCCCTAACTGTTACATAGTTTTCAAATCATGAGTGTGTTGGCTTGACATTTGACAATCAAGTCCATGGTAAGTTGAATCCACAGATTGTGTGTATACATAGAACATGGATAAGAAACAGTCTGCGTGAGCTAGGCTGTGTTGTCTCCCAAAAAGTGGTACTCCCAGAATACCAACTCTTGAATGTCATGGATGACTTGGGAATAATGAAACAGGTGCGCAGCCATATCCCTGCATGTTCATGGTGCAGGGATAACACACAATTTCAACTTTAGACATGTTCAAAGATTTCACCAAGAAGCCACATTTAATTCAAACTGGCTTGAGCAAAAGATTAAATGACCCAATACTTTTACAAAAAAGCCAGAAGACAATAAAAAGAAACTCTATTTGATTTCTAGTTTTGAGCATTCCTGGCTCTATTATTTTTGTTTTGAAACAGGGTCTCAGGTAGTCCAGGCTGGCCTCAAACTTACTATGTAGTTGAGGTTAACCTTGAACTTCTGACCCTGTACCTGCATCTCCAAGATGTGGGGATTATAATTATGCTGTTCTTTCTACTAATGTCATCATGAATATTTCCTCCCTCTGTTGCTACTGGTGCTAACATACACCAGAAAATTAAGTAGAGTTAAATAATTCTAATTTGTTTAAATAATTCTAATGACCTCTTTGTTTAAGCTTTTTTCATGGAGGAGAATACTTTCTATCCTATAAAAAGCTTATTTCAGAGATGGCTCCTGGAAATATTTGAAGATTTTTTTTTTTCAGCTTTAAGCTGAAGGGTTAAGCTATGTAAGCAAGACAGGGACCGTTCGTCCAGACTTTACCACAATGAACACAGAACCTTGAAAATTCAACACAGAATAAAAGGGCATAGATTTACAAAGATAGATGATGATGTCTTCCACCCTTTTCTGCCAAGTTAACCCCTTCTACCAGAAAAATTAACTACTGGAAACGAGAACTCCCATGAGCCTAGAGATGGTCTTAGGCCTGTACTAACAGGCTTCCATAAATAGTTAGCCACTCTGTACTTGGGACTGAACCTGAGCCTCACATGTGCTAGGCCAGTATGTTATGTCCCTATCCCTCTTTCACTTCCCTAGCTATCTTTTTGGGAGAGAGAGTGTTTCACTGCTTCCCAGATTATCCTTGAACTCATTCTGTAGCTCCAAGAGGCCTCAAATTCACAATCTTCTTGCCTCAGTATCCAGAGTAGCTGGGGTTACAGGCACAGATGACCTGGCCCATCTCTAAACCAACTAATTATTGGATGTTCCTTTGCTTTTTATTTGTCACTCATAGAGACTCAAAATGGTTTGAGTTTTGCCATTTCTTCTTTTTTTAAAATAAAAACTATCTTTAAAATTTTATGTGTGTAAATATTTACTTAAATGTGTTTATGTGCATGTGCATGTGCCTGGTGCCTGAATAGGAAAGTAAAGGGCATCCCCTGGATCCCCTGGAGCTAGAGTTACAGTGCGAGTGGGTGCTGGGAATTGAACTCAAGTCCTCTGTAAGAGCAGGGAGTCCTCTTAAACACTAAGCCACCTCTCTCGTTCTGTCCTATCATTTCTTTAAAACTTTGCTTCATTGCTGAAAGCACTCTATAAACTGGACTTCAGAGCCACCTTGTTCCTTAGGAGCCTCTTGTATATACACATTAACTCTACATATTAATAAGCTATTTGTCTTTTTCATTCACTTACATTTTATTACAGGGTTCACTCTAACTGAAAACCTACTGGATTGGCAAAAAAAAATCATCTCTTTTTCTATACTACACTAGCAGTTTATAACTATGGGTAATACTTCCTGAAAAATAATAGACAGTGGAAAAATCAGATTTGATAATCAACAAAAACTTTTCTTTTATTTTTTTGATACAGGGTTTAATATAGTGCAAGTTGGCCTCTAAATAACTCACTCTGTAGTCACTCAGCCTGTAGACTTTGAACTTTTGATTCTCCAGCCACCAACTCCCATTGCTGGGACTACTGGCCTGTATCACCATGCCTGGTTAAAAAGACTCTCTTCTTAATCAACTTTTTTCCAGCTCCTCTAGGTTCTACTTTCAACTTCTTGCCAGACCTGCACAGTCCAGTTTCAGCAAGAATCCTATTAAGTTGCTTCACAGAAACTCACGCCCTATGAAGCCAATTGCCCTGGATGTCTGATCAGGTTCTTTACCCTCTGTGGCCCTTCAGGTGATATCTCATCACCAAGGTCTGCCTTGAGTAAGAATCTGGTTAGGTTGGTTGAGCTAGAATCTTCACTACCACAGATATTTCCTTTCAGTGATTTTCTGTCCACAGAAGCCACAGCTTCATGGCTGTGAACTGCTGCCAGGGATCCATAATGAATTTGCTTCTGTTTGGTACCTTTCCTGGTATTGTTGTGGTTTCTGAATAAAATCCATCTTCTGTTGTGTGGTTGTGTGGCAATTCCACCACTACTCATAATCAGTCATTAACCATTTGTTGTGTAGTTTGGTGGCCTCCTATCCACAATGCATGAATCAGTCTTAATCTCCCACATGAGAAGAAGGTTAGGAAGCTGAGGTCAGTGCCTGTTGAGATCAGGCTATGTCTGCAGTAAATACAGTAAAACGAAATCTTTGGGCCTTGCCTTGCCCCAGGTGACCTCATTGTATGGAGGAGTATTTGGATTCACTTCTATGAGTGCAGAGGCAGCATGACTCTAAGGCACTGTGCGAGGCACAGGCTAACAAACAAACATGTCGTTCTTAAGAGCAAAATAAGCATTGAGACAGGACAGAAAGGCAGAGAGATGTAGGGGTAAGAAAGGAGAGGGGAGACCCCTCAATCTGGTTCAAGCCTCTTGCTCCTGAGAAGCAAGAATCCCAGCTCAGCTCAGTCCTCCTCATAGATACTATCAATTCCAGTGCACGTCTACCCATCTGTTCACCCCTCTGGATGTGGTCTTACACTTTGCTTCCATGATCCTTTGGTCTCTCACCTTGCTTTTAGACTTCTGAAGTCCTGTAGCTCACTTCTGCAGTTCTCCTCGACACTAAGGCTTGGATCAACCCGGTGGCCCTGTGGGTTGTCTCCGCCTTGTCTCTAGCATTCTCCATCTGAGTTTCTAATATCTATCTATCCACTGCAGTGACTATCTTTGCACTTTTATATTTTTTTTCTGCATCTACCAAAGCTTCTTTAAACTTATTGAACTTTCCTGTGGCCTCTTTTACTCTTTGGTAGCTATTCTGTAACCCACACATACACACACACCACATACACACAGTGAGTATGTGATCTCAGAGTTAATATTTGTATGTTGATGAAAAAACACAGATTTCATTACAACAAGGAGAAAACCGTATGGTTTATTCTGAAGCCAAATATGAGAGACTATGGTGCAGGAACATAGGTTCAGATTTCCTCAAATCCCATTGCAACATGGTAACAGTTCCATGGTAACAGAATAAAGAACATTATAATTCAAGACACTTTCCAAATACAGCAGTGGAAACATCAGCTAGGCCAGTTCTAGCAGGATGGAGGGACTGTGCTACAGGCCTCAGATGCATTCTGAGGATACTCTCAGCTTTTGAGCTAGCGGAAACTAGTGGTCTGCTAAATTGATGTTTCTCAAAAGTTTTCTGAGATGGTACCAAGAGCATTAAGTCACATGTAGAAGAGGATAATGGTTACCTAAGGGGCCAGGATGGCCCCAAATGATTTTTAATTAGACTCTGGACCTGCAACATTCGAACTCCTTCATGTAAGTCTAGTAATCAGTGAGTTCTACTCAGTCCATCAACTTTTGTCATCATAGCTTTCTGGGAACTTCCCTCTACAGAGATAAAGATTGGGAGAAAAAAGATCCTGTGTTTATTGACAGGCAGCTGTCAAGGGAAACTTGGATGACATGGTAAAATGTAGCCAACTAAACTTATGTAACATATACATTTATTGTTCAATAAATTCCTGCACTGTGGAAAGATAATAAAATGCCAAATGTCAGTCTTTTTGGGCATAGTACACTCATGACAGCGGACTTAGCTAAGAAAGCCTGGAAAGCCACCTGCCTCTTCTTCAAAG